ACGGGTTGGAGAGTGAGAAGGGTGGAGGGCATTTTTATGGTAATTGTAACCTAAATTTCACGATTTGATTTCCTTTCTTAAAGTTTCCTGTAACTTTCAGCTTAAATTTTTGACGCCTCCTTTTTTCAATTGAATATTAGCTGTGATGGCTGTCAGCTGTTCTCCCCGTTCTGAGGAAATACTCAATTGTGTTATTGGCATTTAACTTTATTTGATTGTTCATATTGAAACTTTTAGGTAATTCCGTCGATGCAATAAAAATAATTTGCAAACACGCAAAAGCAAATCGGCAACACAGACAACGAACCAATAACGGCGAAGATAAGGAGATAATTCGACAAATGAGCAATAAACTAGTCATTATATTGTGAAGAAATATTGTTTTGTTGTAATGTATACTGTCATGAAATACACATACTTGTAACGGGAGGATTATAGGCTCTGCTATCGCAAATATTTAATATGTAATATATTGTAATACATATTATTTCCGAATGTAAATAAAATGTACTTAACAATATTTAAAGTAATTACACTGTACGACAAATTTGAAATTTTCAATAATTTCAGGGAAAATCCAGCGGATTATAAAAGTAGAGCTAGAAATAAATGACACGTGTATCCGCGTTTTAAAACTTTTAATCGCAAAGTAATATAATATAGTGAGAAAAATTCTCACACTTCTAAATTTTTTTGAATTTTCAGATTAAGATTTTATGGAATTCGTTGTTTCGCTGTTTTTAGGTATATAAAGTGTTTTCGGAAATATTGCTGAAAAAAACCAGATTATTTTGTTAAAAAATGTAACCCTAAAGTGGTTTTTAGTCTTTTTTTTTTTCAAAATATTGTTCAAATCTCCCTCTAAACGGAATTGTAGTAAGTCAAAATAATCTACAAAGTTATTTGTCATAAAATTCTACTAAAGGTCCTAGAGATATTGTTTAGCGTACAAGAGCATTTCGGTGAGAATTTTCCAAAAAAAAAATGTTATTCGTGATGGGATTCAAGCATGATAGAGTGATTTTTCTACCCTCCACCTTGGAAAGGAGGGTATATTAACTTTGTCATTCCGTTTGTAATATCCTTAAATTTTCGTCGTAGACCCCATAAAGTATATATATTCATAATCAGCATAAAATTCTAAGTCGATTTAACGATGTCCGTCTGTTTGTCCGTCTGTCTGTTCGTCTGTCTGTCTGTTGAAATCACGATACAGTCCACATTATTTGACGTAGAGCGCCAAAATTTAGCAGAGCAATTGGTATTGTGTCTAGGATGGTTGGTATTGAAAATGAGATATATCGGTCCACGTTATGGTATAGTCCCCATATAACGGTACCTCCCGATATTCGGTATTTTGATAATTTATGCCACATTTTTTCACGGATTTGTCTGAAAATTGGTATTTGTAGATCATAACGGGTCCCTGTAAATGTGGCAAAACATTGCATGTATAGGTCCACGTTTTGGTATAGCCCGCATATAATGGTACCTCCCGATATTCGATATTTTGATTATTTTTGCCACATTTTTTAACGGATTTGTCTAAAAATTGGTATTTGTTGGTCATAATGGGTTCCAGCTCCGGTGGCGCAACATTGCATGTATGGATCCATGATTTGGTATAGCCCCCATATAACGGTACCTCCCGATATTCGGTAATTTGATGATTTTTGCCACATTTTTCACGTATTTGTCTGAAAATTGGTATTTGTAGGTCATAATGGGTTCTAGCTCCGGTGGCGAAACATTGCATGTATGGGTCCATGATTTGGTATAGCCCCCACATAACGATACCTCCCGATATTCGGTATTTTGATGGTTTTTGCCACATTTTTTCACTGATTTGTCTAAAAATTGGTATTTGTGGGTCATGATGGGTCCTAGTTCGTGTGGCGAAACATTGTAATTATAGATCCACGTTTTGGTGTAGCCCCCATATAACGGTACCTCCCGATATTCGGCATTTTAATGGTTTTTGCCACATTTCTTCTAATGTTTCTTTTACCCTAAGGTGGAGGGTATTAAAAGTTTGGCCCGGCCGAACTTAATGTTTTTTACTTGTTTTTTTTTTTTTCAAAATATTGCTCAAATCTCCCTCTAAACGGAATTGTAGTAAGTCAAAATAATATACAAAGTTATTTGTTATAAAATTCTACTAAAGGTCTGATTTTTATACGCTCCAAAGTTGGGAAGGAGGGTATATTAACTTTGTCATTCCGTTTGTAACATCCTTAAATATTCGTCGTAGACCCCATATTCATAATCAGCATAAAATTCTAAGTCGATTTAACGATGTCCGTCTGTCTGTCTGTCTGTCTGTCTGTCCGTCTGTCTGTTGAAATCACGATACAGCCCACATTATTTGACGTAGAGCGCCAAAATTTAGCAGAGCAATTGGTATTGTGTCTAGGATGGTTAGTATTGAAAATGAGATATATCGGTCCACATTCTGTTATAGTCCCCATATAACGGTACCTCCCGATATTCGGTATTTTGATAATTTATGCCACATTTTTCACGGATTTGTCTGAAAATTGGTATTTGTAGGTCATAACGGGTCCCTGTACATGTGGCAAAACATTGCATGTATAGGTCCACGTTTTGGTATAGCCCGCATATAATGGTACCTCCCGATATTCGATATTTTGATTATTTTTGCCACATTTTTTTTTAACGGATTTGTCTAAAAATTGGTATTTGTTGGTCATAATGGGTTCCAGCTCCGGTGGCGAAACATTGCATGTATGGATCCATGATTTGGTATAGCCCCCATATAACGGTACCTCCCGATATTCGGTAATTTGATGATTTTTGCCACATCTTTTTCACGTATTTGTCTGAAAATTGGTATTTGTAGGTCATAATGGGTTCTAGCTCCGTTGGCGAAACCTTGCATGTGTAGGTTCACGATTTGGTATAGGCCCTATATAACGGTACCTCCCGATATTCGGCATTTTAATGGTTGTTGCCACTTTTCTTCTAATGTTTCCTTTACCCTAAGGTGGAGGGTATTGAACGTTTGGCCCGGCCGAACTTAATGTTTTTTTAATTGTTTTATATTTGGCTGCAAAACCACCAGTGACTATCGTTAGAGCGTAGCCCGACGTCAAGGGAGTGGACAAAAAAAAAGAGTAACATCAGCATAAATGGTTCGATAAGTAAATAAGCGACTTGATCGAAACTCGCCTCGCAGTGCTCGAAAAATGGTTCGTGAGCTGAACATGTCGCATTATTCCATTCGGCAAATATTGAAAAATGAGCATTGAAATTCCAAAAAGTGCAAGGACTTACACCGCAAGAGAAAGAAAATAGACTCAAAAGAGCTCAAAATTTGCTTCGCTTGGCCGAAAGTGGTGAACTGGCGAATTCGGTTTTCTCCGATGAGAAAACATTCGTTGTCCAGCAGTTTGTAAACAAACAAAATTGTCGTGTTTACTTTGCAAACTTCAACTCAAGTTCCGGTCATGGTGATGGTGTGGGCCGCCATAACAGCCGATGGTCGCTCTTCCCTCGTATTAATCGACCGTGGTATCAGAATAAATGACGAATATTATGGCGAAAATATTCTGGAGTGTGCATTAAAGCATTTGGCCGCAGACCTTGGACATTCCAACAGGACTCAGGACTCAAGAATGATTACAAAATGAGGTTCCTCGCTTCATTTCTAGCGCACAATGGCCACCAAAATCTCCCGGATACCAATCCGTTGGACTATTGTGTCTGGAGTATTTTTGAAAGCAAGGTTGACACTAAACATACAAAAGTGTCGATCACCTCAAGTAAGCGCTTCGCGGGGAATTGGCCGAAATACCGCAGATTAACATTCGGACAGCGTGTGACGGTTTCATTGGCCGTTTGAAGGCCATAATTCGTGCCAAAGGTGACTAATGCGAACAAGTCTAAACTAAGTTTTAAATTCGATGTTATTTCCGACATTTTTTGCTTTCATTGAATAAAAATTAAAAAAAAATGTAAAAATTATGGCGATGGATTTAATTGCAGTTATTTTTTATCTCGCCCTGTATCTATCCTGTACTCTGATTGTAACCTTATTTCCAATTTTCAGGATACCAGCTCTATTCTCTCACCCCAATCCAAATTGTATCTAATTTAGTACCATTTAGTACAATATGTACTTAATATTTTTATAACTAACTACATGATACAGTAAAATAGAAATCTTTTTCCCAAATTTTAGGATTCGAATTCTATTGGTTCTCCCAAAATTTAAATTGTACCAAATTTAGGGTCATTTAGTACACATAAGTACGAATATCCCAAACTCCCTTTATTTCTCAGTTCTAGAATGGAATGGTAATGTTATTTCTAAATTTCAGAATTCGAAATCTATTGGTTCTACCAAAATTTAAATTGTACCAAATTTAGTACCATTTAGTACACATGAGTACGAATTTCCAAAACTACCTATTTTCCTTAGTCCTAGAATGCAATAGTAATCTTATTTCTAAACTTTAGAATTCCAGCTTCATCGGTTCACACAAATTGAAATTGTACCAAATTTAGTACCATTTAGTACTTTTCGTGCACATAAGTAAAAATTTCAAAATATTCCTCCATATCCCAATCTTACACTCCGCCAAATTTCAGAATTCCAGCTCCATCCGTTTCTCCAAATTCAAATTGTACTAAATAGGTACTTTTTGGTATACATGAGTACACACTTCCAAAACCACCTCCTTACTTCGACTCCACTCCTCAATCTTGATTTCCATTCCAAATTTTTAGCTCTAACCGTTCACATGCTACGAAATGGTACCAAATGTAGTACATTTTAGTACTTTTCGTGCAAATATAGTGCGATTTAAAAAAAAAAAACATCATCCATCATATGCTCCGTAATTCTAAATTTAAGAATTCTAGCTCTACAGCTTCCTTAAATACAAAGGGTACCATATTTAGTACCTTTTAATAATTTTCATATTTAATACATTTAACACTTTTTTCCCTGATTTCAAAACATTTATGAAATTACTTACCCCTGATCTTAGCTGCAGTATAGTTGTTTCATCCACAATTCCCAGCTCCTCCCATGAACGCGGTGGTGGTGGCTGCGTCACTATCCCGGCGGGTGTTTGATTTTGTGTCGGCAATTTATGTCTCGTTATCCATTCATGTTTATCCTCATCTTCCCCAATTGGCGATGGGGTATTTGCCTCCTCAGCCTTTAAACTGGCACGTCGTGCTGTGAGGGCGCGATTTGGCGAAGGATCCCTTTGTAGATTGTGCATAACCTCAATGGCTTTGTGGGCGGTACGAGGACTAATGATGCTGTCCACTGGACTTATACTCAGCCTTTTGAAAGACGATTTGGGAGATGTGGGAGATTTACCGGGGGATTTTTGTGGTGACTTTGGTGATGGACTGTAGGATGAGGAGGCTGGTGAGGAGGTTTTGGCTGATGATGGTCGTATTTTCTCTGGTGTTGTGGGAGTGGATTTCGAATACCCTTGTTGCTGCTGTTGGCTGAGGGGTTTGGTATTGTCATTTGGTATGTCCAATGTTAAAATGGTGGTTTTACTTGAGTCCACATCGGAGGAGGGTGGGGAGTGTAAAATAAATGGTGGTTGAAGTTGATTGTCTGTAACTCGGGTTGTGCCACCACCAATTGCCATGGAGGATGCTGGGTGTTGCTGATTGGTTGCAGAATTGGCATCACTATCCGGCGTGCGCATTTTCACCACTTCACCCCCAAATGTTACCCTTTTGGGTGTGCGCGATGGAGTGGATGGTGTAACAAGAGTATAATAAGAATTCCTTCCCTGACCATCCTCTGTATCATCGGAATCACTCAACAATTTAACCAATGACGCTGAAGAGGCATCATGCAGACTTTTTGCACTGGCCAAACGACCACACACCACCTCATCTTCCAGACTATTCGGAAAAGTTTCACTGCGAGATTTATGGCAAACTTCCGCTGCTGGTTCAACCAAACAGACGTCATCATCTTTGGCTTCCAAAATACGCATTGTCAGGGTATCGTCATTAATTTTTATTTCGGTTTCCATAATAACCTTGGCTGGACAGGCTAGTAGAGGTTCAGCGCTGCCCACTGCCTCCTCGACCACAACCTGGACTTCATCATTTTCATGGTTTTGGGGATGCCAACAATTGGCCAGCCTAGAGGGTTTGGAATTGGCCATAAGGCGCCAGGTGTTGATGTTGTCTTGCGTTGAGGCCAGGAACTTCGACTGGGAACCTGCTGAGGATAATGACTCCTCCTGTTCATTTAGGCCATAGACATTGCAAAGCAAATCAAATTCCCGAAAGGCTCCATGGGACATGTAGCTAACAAATTCCGCTTCTCCCAGTAGTTCACGCATTTTCCTCAAAACCTTCAGGGTGATTTCCTGATGTGTCACCTGACCCATTTTCTGTATCAACATGTCAATGGTGGTGCGAATAATGAAATGCCTTTTCGGGGTGTGCAGAGTCGACTGAACCAAAGCTGGTAGGGATAGCATAACACCACATGTTAGGCGTCCACCAAATGGTTCATTGGTGATCTTTTGATTGAGCCCTATATCCAGGATTTGCAGTATGACCACCTCGGGTATGGCAGTTTCGGAGAGATACACACGCAGACAGTCGAGGGCACCCTTCCTCACGGTAGGGGCCTGATGTCCCAGGTTCTCCACCAATTGTCCTATCAGCGGTTGCATAAAAGGATCTGCCTTGGCTTTCATGACCACCAAAACATCAACGAAGACGCGTAGGGCATGTTGTCGTACCTGCCATTCGGGATCTTTGAGACGTTCCAAAAACTCGGCAAACATGAGGCGGGGACATGTTGAGTCTGGCAGCTTTCTTGTCCTTAAAATATGTTCCCACAAAGGAGTCAATTGTATGCTGGACGAAGATGATGATGATGATGACGATGTGGCTGCCCGGTTTTGATGGACAGCTGAAGAAGTACGCATTATTGTTGTTGTTTTTGTTGTCGAGTAATTGACCGGAATATCCTTACAAGGCAACTATGTAATGGCCTTCCAACCACCTTAGTCACGTAAAATTCCACGTTTTAACAAAAGCCACGACTCACAGACATACAAACACACACACATTCATATATATTAATTTCAATTGCCGATGTTGTTTTTGCGTTTGTTGTTGTTACTACTGCTACTCGAAATAACACTATTTTTAATTGTTTCCTTAAACTTCAACCTTATTTCAACCCGTACGTATGGCCTTTAACCCGGCTTTGCGTGGCATGGCACACACACACACACACAAACAGGAATAAATTCTCCTATAGACATTGATTATTTTTATCCAAACGTAGTTGCCCTCAGCAGTAGCAGCAGCCGCATTATAATTTTCAATTCCGACACAATAATAAATGACTTTCTATTTTTAAGTAGAACTCTTTTTAAAATATTTTTATTTTGGATATCACTTGCTTTGTTTTTTTTTCTTTCTTGGAAAAATATTTTTTTTATTTCTTTTGTTGTTGTTTTTCAATTTTTTTCCTCTTCAGGCCAACACTGGCAGGACAATTCCGTATCCTTCGCGTAACGTTCACTTCAACACTCACCATATGACTGCCTCGTTTACCGTTATCCACTTGGCTATTTGTATAAAAATATAAATAATAAGTGTGAGTAATTTGAGAGCACAAAACTGACCCATACAATGTTGAGAGAGTCTTGTTTTTGGAGAGTGGTCGCGTTGCCAACATTCTGTTCATGCGACATGTTGCATTCATATGACAGGATTCAGGCTGGCAAAAGGTTATTGGGGTAATATATATTTAAATATATATTTTTTTGGGGAATCTCAGAAATAAACTAGAATAGCACCAAAAAAATCGTCACACCATGACTCGGAGACTTGATCCATGGAGTCATTTTCCTTTTTTTGATATCTTACCTAGACGGAGTTTTGTTAAGAAGATTACGAATACGAAACGTACTACTAGGGTACCAAATAATGCACCTCCTTGATTGTAATGTTAAAAAGGGCTAGAACCTTGACTTTTTGTATAATGGATTAAATAAAGCGCCATAGTACCTTTTATGCTACAGGGCCGCGAATTATACTTTTGGAACTGTTAATATACATACCTATATATAAAAATCAAATGTCGTTCTGTGGCAAATCCGTCGGTTGGGAACGACTGGACCGATTGGATACCTTGTTCTTCAAATGTTGTCACGTTTATGGTTTTTAGGAAAGAAAAATTAACCACGCCTACATTTGCCACGATCGATTAATACGAGCAGAGAGCGACCATCGGCTGTTATGGCCGCAAACACCATCAACATGGCCTGAGCTCGAGTTCTGGTGGCCAACCGAGGGAGGACATTTTCAGCTGACCTGTGTGGCAAGTAAACACGATCATTTTGTTTGTTTACAAACTGTTGGACAACGAATGTTTTCTCATCAGTTCACCACTTTCGGCTAAGCAAAGCAACTCTTAAGCTCTTATGAGTCTATTTTCTTTCTGTTGCGGTGTAAGTTCTTGCTCTTTTTGGAATTTCAATGGCTTTACCCCGAGCTCATTTTTCTATATATGCCTCATGGAATATTGCGATTTGTTCAGCTCATGAGCCATTTTTCGGCAACTGCTACTCGGGTTTCGATCAAGTCGCTTCTTTATTTTTCGAACCATTTCTGCTGATTTTGCTGTTTTCTTCAGTTCACTTCCTTGACGTCGGGCTACGCCACCAGTATCACGGTAACGAGCGATGGTATGAGACACAAAAGATTTGTTCACATTTAAATGCTGGAGTGCTTTATCGATAGCCAATTGTGGTGTTCCAGCCAAATATAAAGAAATCACACTATCACGCTTGAATTCCATCACGAATAACTTTTTTTCTGGAAAATTCTGACCAAAATTCTTTTGTACGCTTGTAACCAGTACCTCAAGATCAGCGTAATTCTAAGAAGATTTAGCAATGTCCGCATTTCCGCCTGTGTGTCTGTTGTAATCGCGTTAACATTCGAACGAATTGAGATAGAAGACTAAAACCTATTGCTTATATAGGTCCGCGTCTCCGTATAGCCCCCGCATAAAGGTCATCATTTAAAGGGTATTTTTCGGAATTAGCTGCCTTTTTTCTTGTTTTTTTTTTTTTTTTTTTTTTGAAATTTTGCACGCCCCTTTTCCTTTTTACTTGTTAACATATATCCTTGTGATTTTTTTAACACTTGTGATTTTTTTTAATCAAATGCTCTGAAGCTTTTTGTGACCTTTGTCAATGACTATGACTGTTGCAACATTTAAAACCTGCAATCAATTAAATTTAACGTGCGTGTTTTCATTTTTGACGTTTATGTATTTTTTCATGTTGGAACTGACAAATATAAACTTTGGCTAAATTTTGAGTACTTTTGTTTTTTTGAGAATTTTTACAAATTCAACAAAGAAAAATTTGCTACATTTCTTTGACACGTTAAAAAAGTTTTAGGAAGTTCAGTAAATGCAAAGAAATTTTAATGCCGAATCATGAATGTGTGTGTGTGCGTGTATGTGTTTAAAATTATTATTATAATTATTAAAATGAAAATTAATACTTCTTATTTATTCCCATTTTTATTGCTATTTAAACATTTCCATTTGTAATATTTGTAGAAGAATTCACACCATTACTAACCAGTAAAAAAAAGTCAAAAGTCGGGGGCGCCGGTTATATGATTACCTACACCACTATGCACATACTGTAGAGCTACCCGTTACAACTTTTGACTATCCAACTATGTACCTTATATTAAATAAGTGAAAAACGCAGTAAGTTCGGCGAATTTTGAATAGCCTCCACCAATTGGAAGGAATTTCGATTATTTAAAAAAAACTCTTCGCATAAAATTTTCAACTTTCGGAGAAGGGCCCATCATGGTCTTGACATTCATTCATCAAATGATTTGGCTAAAAAATTGTATTTAGGCTAACCCAAGCCCTCTTTCCCAACTAATGTGTGGTCAGAAAAAAAGTGTATTCTATTGAATTTGTAAATCCCAATAGAACATTGGTTGGGAACGTAAATTTGGGATGTACGTCTATCTGAAATAAACTCCGAAATGTCAAACTGGCACTCATTCAGTCCGAAATTGTTGCAGAAACATGAAAAAATTGCGAATATTAGTAAATAACCTATTATAGATGTTCTATATCATATTGGTTTTTAACCCTTAATTTAAAGCCTATGGCTGAATAATAAGATCAGTGAAGGAAGTAACCAATATAGTACAAACCTTGGTACGTCACAATATTTATATCATATACATGGTGAGATGAAAAAACTGCAACCAACTTCAGACTGCTGCCATTTCTAAGCCACTCCTCCGACAGCTGTTAAAATTATTCCATTGACAGCTCATTATATTGTTTCCAAGCGTACAAAAGCATTTTGGTGAGAATTTTCCAGAAAAAAAATTATTTGTGATGGAATTCAAGCGTGATCTTTATATTTATCTTTTCTTTATATTTGGCTGGCTATCGTTAGAGCACTCCAACATTTAGATGTGAATAAATCTTTTGTGTCTCGTACCATCGCTCGTTACCGTGATACTGGTAGCGTACCCCAACATCAAGGAAGTGGAAGGAAGAAAACAGCAACATCAGCAGAAATGATTCGAAAAATAAAGAAGCGACTTGATCGAAACCGCAGTGGCCGAAAAATAGCTCATGAGCTGAACATATCGCAATATTCCATTCGGCAAATATTGAAAAATGAGCTCGGGGTAAAGCCATTGAAATTCCAAAAAGTGTAAGAACCTACACCGCAACAGAAAGAAAATAGACTCAAAAGAGCTAAGGAGTTGGCCGAAAGTGGTGAACTGTCGAATTTGGTTTTCTCCGATGAGAAAAGATTCATTGTCCAGCAGTTTGTAAACAAACAAAATGATCGTGTTTACTTGCCAAAGAGGTCAGCTGAAAATGTGCACCTTCGGTTGGCCACTAGAACTCAAGCGCCGGCCATGGTGATGGTGTTGGCCGCTATAACAGCCGATGGTCGGTATGGTGGTATTTGTCAGAATAAATGCCGAATATTATCTCGAAAATATTCTGGAGTATGTATTAAAGCCACCACCTTTTTGCCGTAGACCTTGTGCATTTCAACAGGACTCAGCACCAAGCGCTTCGCCGGGAATAGGCCAAAATACACGAGCAGCATGTGACGATTTCATTGGCCGTTTGAAGGCCACAATTCGTGCCAAAGATGACTAATTCGAACAAATCTAAACTTATTCTATACATCTGTTGACAAAACCGACTGATATTTTTAACTTGTTTATATATCCTTTGATCGAAATAAAAACACAAAAAATATTTTGTTTTATATTCTTTACAAAATTCTTTATTTATTCTACTATTAGAAAAATTTTATATATATATAATTTTTCACAATTCGGTCGATTTCTTTAATAATATCTATAAAATCTATTACAAAACTAAAAACAAATTGTTTGCTAAAGAAAATTTCATTGTTTGCATTTCCTTTTTTGTTCGCTAGCTTATAAAATAAATTTAAGATTATTAAACAGAAAGGTGATAGATAATACAACAACGATGCTGGAAATTAAAAAATAAGAAGAGAAAATTTACAAAATTTTGAATATATAAAAAATTGATTGAAAATTCATTTAAAGCTTTATAAATTATATGGTAAATTTTTATAATTTAAATACATTTGTTTTAATATAGATTTTTTTATATAAAACTAATTTAAAATTATGTTATGTGTAAATTATATATTTATATGTAAATCTTATGGCAAGATTTTTTTTAAATTTAATTTTTTATTTATTTTTTAATTGTTGTTAATGTTAGACATCAAACTAGGGAATATAAGAAGAAGTAAATTCTTATAAAATATGTTTTTTTTATTTTTTACAAAAAATGTTATTAAAATTTGTCTGTTTTTTTATATAGCACACAAAATATTTAATTATTTTAGTATTAAAATTAAAATTCTTAAATAATGTGTTGTAATTGTAATACATTATTATAGTTCATGATGGGCCGCAAGTTCCAAGTTTTCTTCATTTGTTTTATTTTATAAAAATGGCATAGAAATGTTATAAATGTGTGAGTGTGTGATTTTAAAAATTCAATTAAAATTTGTTTTGGAACCTTATAGCCCACAATATTGTTATAAATAATAAAATAATATTATTATGAATAATAATAAAAAAATAATATTATTATAAATAATAATTATAAGAAATGCTTTTAAGCACAAACCTTAAATGTTGGTTAAATAAAATTGTATGTCTGTATGTATGTCAGGCTTATGTTTGGCTTGTTGCTATGGTTATTACTTACAAGTCTGTTGCATACATTCATGTTATATTAAAAGAATACATATATTTCATAGGTAGGTGGTAGTTATTGCTATATATAGGTTAGGACACAAACCTTGATACAAGGTGATTCACTTATATTCAAATTTTATTTAAATCTAAATTTAACTGTCTTAAAATATATTTTTGAAAAACGAAAAATTACACTTGACTTACTCGACTAAATGACTTAAATTTTATTAAAAATATATATTTTTTACTAACTAATTAGATGTAGGTATATAATTTGTTATATGTTCAGTTCATGATTCATGAGTGGTTTGTTTTCGTTTTTTTTTTTCTTTTAATGTTTTTTTTTCTTGTAAAATGTATTTTGCAAGGCACTTTTCATAGTTCACATATGGAAGACTTATTAATTCAAACGAAAAGTGTGTGTGTGTGTTTGTAAAAAATGCATGTGTATGAGTATTATTTTTAATGAAATGTTAATGGCATTTGAAGTTCAGACCCTAAATGTTGTCGAGTTTTCCTTTACATGTAAACATGGCATTAGAAATGTTCGTGGAAATGAAAATCTAATTTATAAATTTTCAAAAGATATTAAAAATATAAAATTTTTTAAATGTTACTATTGTTACAAAATTCTAATCCTAATCTAATTTATATTAATTTTACATAAAAACAATTAACACAGCATTTTCTTGTTTGCTATCCTATGTTTTCTTAAAATTAGATATCAATTTTTTGTTTCTTGTTCCTGTTGTTAAGCATTTGTCGTTTATCTGGTGTAAGTTGTATATTTTTCATGAGGTTACAGTCAGAGAGGAGCTGAATGGGAATGTAACTTATGCTGGATAATTTTGAATATATTTAAAATTATCTGTGATATGTTTATGATTTCTTTGTGATATATGGATAATTTAGAAACATTATCCGGATAATTTTCATGAATTTTCCACAATATCTGGGTAATTTAGATGTCATATCCAAGTTATCCGGATAATTAGGATGCTTTGACCGCATTATTTTGAAACTTGAGATTGAAATGCATTATTCAAGTTATCCGCGTTTTCGGATAACTTAGTTGCAGCAACAACGTTATCCGGATAAATAAGATGGATGCGATTTTTTTGGATAAATTAGATGTATCATCTACGATATCTGGATAAATCAGATACATTTTCCGCGTTATCCGGATAAAACAAACTCGTTATCCTTGTTTTCTGGATAAATTAGATGCATCACCCAAGTTATCCGGATCATTCATTCTGCGTTTTCCAGATACCTTAGATGCATTATCAATGTTATCCGGATAAATCAGATACATTTTCCGCGTTATCCGGATAAAACAAACTCGTTATCCTTGTTTTCTGGATAAATTAGATGCATCACCCAAGTTATACGGATCATTCATTCTGCGTTTTCCAGGTACCTTAGATGCATTATCAATGTTATCCGGATAAATTAGATATCTTATCAACGTTATCCGGATAAATCAGATGCATTTTCCGGGTTATCCGGATAAATCAAATGCGTTATCCTTATTTTCTGGATAAATTAGATGCATCATCCACGTTATCCGGATCATTCAGATGCTTTATCCGGGTTTTATGGATAAATTAAATGCATCATCCACGATATACGGATAAATCCAATGCGTTATCCGCATTATCCGAAAAAATCAGATGCGTTATCCGTGTTTTCCGAATAAATAGGATGTATTATTCATGTTATCCGAAAAATATGAACACGATATCCGCGATTTCCGGATTATATAAGTGCACCAAACACTTATCCGTATAATTCAAATACGTTATCCGCGTTTTCTGGATAAATAATATGCCTTATCCACATTATCTGGATAATTTACGTACATTATCCGATATTTCCGAATAAAATAGATTCATCATCCACATTTTCAGAATAATATAAAAATGCGTTATCCAAGTCTTTCGGATAACTAAGATGCATTATACACATTATCCGAAAAACTCAGATACGTTGACCATGTTATCCGCACAGTTTAGATATAACACATCTAAATTATGAGTTTTCAGAAAACAGTGATGCATATTTTTTCGGAAAAAATGGACCCATCAACCACGTTATCCAGATAATTGAGATGTCTTATCCGCATTTACTGGATAAATAAGATGTAGTATTCATTTTATACGGATAATTCAGATACATTATCCGAGTCAGCCGGACAACTAAGATTCATTATCCACATTATTCGGATAATTCAGATGCATTGTCCACGTCTTCGGAATAACTAGGATTTTTTGTCCATGTTATCCGAATGCTTTGTATCCATTATCCGTGTTATCCAGACAGTTTTGCATAAATTATCCAGACAATTTAGGGAAATTATTTACGTTATCCGTACATTTTAAATAATTTGTTTCGCTTCGTTCTGACAACTTACATATATTATCTACATTATCGGGAGGATTCTTAGCATTATCCAATTTATCCGAATAATTCAAGTACATTATCTTGATTTCCAAGTCATATAGATAACTGAGGCATATCATTTACGTTACTCGAAAAATGTATCCGTTATCCAAATATTCCAAGTTTTCAGAAAAAATCTTGTAATTTATCCAAGTTGTACTGATAATTCGAATACCTTATCTATGTTATACTTGTATAACATACATACATTATACAAGTTATCAGGATAGGTTAGATAAGCTCATATTATCCGGTCCGTGGATAAGATAGATACATATTCTACGTTATCTGGATAGGTTAGATAAATTATCCAATATGTCCAGATAAGTTAGATAAATTATCCACTTTGTCAGGATAAATTAGTTAAATACCCACGTTGTATGGATTGATGCATTATCTGCTTTATCTGAATGGTTGAGATAATTATATATCTGAAAAGGATAGATATTTGTTCTACTTATCTGAACATGTTTGATACTTGTTCTATATTATAACATTAGGTTAGATACAGCTTCGAAGTTATCCTAAAAAATTGCCTACATTATCCGGATAGGTTATATAACTTATCCACCTTATCTAAATGAGTAAGAAACAATTTCTAGGTTATCTGCATTGGAAAGATACTTCATCCACATTATCTGAATAAGTTAGATACTTATTTACATTACCTTGATAATTTAGATGCTTTATCCACCTTAACCTAAAAAAGTTATTGAAGACCAATAGCTATATCCACATTAGTTTTATTATCCGAATAAAGAAGATTGAATCGGATAGCTGGAACAAATTTATAAAATCACTGTTAATTGTCTAGATATATTGGATAACGTAGATACTGTAGCTGTATTATTTGGAAAATGTGGCTAAAGTTAATTCCTTTATTGCATTACCCACTTTGGCTCTCACGCCCTCTTCTATGTTCCAACAAACTCTCTTATGACTTATCTCATTAATTTTTACAGCAATTACTTTATGACTCTTTAAATCACTCAAATCAATCTTTAGTTCTCTCTCTCTCTCTCTCTCTCTCTCTTTTGCTCCCTTTAACTTAAAATACCTCAAATCATACACAATCAATCTCTCTTTCGTTCTCTCTCTCCCTCTCGCTCTCTCACAAATGTCTCTATCTCCATCATACATATTCCTCCGACTGTTTCTGCTGTTGTTGCTGTTGCATTCTCAACGATCCCGTTGGCCTCTGGTCTCCCCTCACCGAGTCTGGCATTTCGGCTATGTCCTTGAATACTCCCACAATGCTTTGGATATTTGGTCCCCAATTCACCAGATATTCCCAACCAATGGGTGGTGGTGCTGATGGTGAAGCGGCACTGTTCGCCTGACGGTAAAGGGCTCCCATATGCGTTGACATATCATCATCGCTGGCAACTAGAGTACTGAGTGAACCACGAAAGGAAGAATCGAAGCCATCGAATGAATGTGGTGGCATAGGAGGCGGTTTGGCCACGCTGGGACCACGGCTGCCATCTCCACTCATGGCGCGACTGACAGGATTCCTTTCATCGGATATGCTTTTACTGGTCGAATATTTGGCATCGCCATTGATGCTATTGTTGTCATACTCTATTTCGGAGCAGGTAAAGCTGTCATTGCCACTCTCATCGGTGGACGTTGAGCTGTGGGCATCCACATCGGTACTGTGTAGGCCACCGCCCAGCGATAGGTGATGGGCACCCACAGTACCACGGGGAGCTTCACTGCTCGAGGAGACAGCATCAAGGGTGGAAACTAGACTGGAGGTCCTAGGCCTTCCATTGAGGCGTTCAATTTCCTCGGCTGTGAGGCCCATAGAGGTTTGGGCTGTGGTTTGTGCTGATACCACAGGCTTTTGGCGACTGGCACTTGAACTTTGTCCCGATAGCTGGGACATCACAGGACTGTTGAGGCTCCTCTCACTATTGCTGTGCAGGGCATCTTTGCCCACTCCTCCCGAACTGGAGGTGGTGGCCAGAAGGGCACTTTGCAGAGGTTTCCCAGATATATCGTGGAGCGTTAAAATTCTTGGCTGTTGTGAGCTTAGCTCTGAGCTGGGTGACAGCCTTGCCAGGGGGGTACTTTGATGTTGCCTGGGTGTACTTGAGGGTGGTGGTGGCTGAGCAGCCTGTGGTGGAACTCCTCTGGGTGCAAATGGACCACCCACACCATGTCTGGGTGAGTGGCGATGTTGTTGTTGCTGGGCCGCCGATTGATGTTTGTGATGGGTATAACTGGCCACAGGGGCGGGAGTGGCTTTGTATTTACGCACCCCACCTGCCTCGCGATAGCCTTTATAGTGATAAACAATGTCAATGTCCGAGGGAGCTATGGAACTGGCATTTTCCAAATCGTAATGTTCCAAATATTCCGAATTCATGTCCACGGACCCGACATGATCATGGGGATGATGGGTTTGACTAGGTGGCGGTATGGGAGGATGATGTTCATCGCGCATGGGACTTTTACTCACCACCTCTCTTTCAATGATGTCGGGGCGCTGAGGTCGTTGCTGCTGATGATCTCCGGGATTGATTTCACGTTCTTTGAATTTTTTGGAAATCAACTCCGGACCCACCATGTGGTGACCGGGAACGCCACGTATTAGATCGCCGCCATCATTGTGATAACCCACCTGGGCTTCGGAATGCATGCCACGCGATAGGACATGGTCGGCTTGATTTTGTGAGCCACCTGAACCACCCAGCATGGTGGCCGGGGAGTTGTGTTTTATTTTGAAACCCGGCACTCCGCAACTGAGACTGCCGATTTTCTCCTGCTTTCCACGGAACCTGTAAATGATGTATGAACCCAAAATGGCCACAACCAAGATGACAAAGAACACAATGACCAAGGTTACACCAATGCTAATGGGATCGGCCACCTGGGCCGCACCAATGCCCATAACACCCACACAGCCATGGGACACCTTGCCATGAACATGGACATCACCGAAGACACTGCCAGTGCCATTGAAGGGTTGAATTTCATTGTTGATGGTGAAATTGGCCAAACATCCCTCATAGCTGGTGGCCATGTGATCCGCCTGGAGATATTCTTTCCTTGCACCACCCACAGAGAGAACCGTCAGATAGGGATCCAAATAATCATGGACGCCAGCGTAGTCCAATTCCTCTCCGGCCCGCGAGCCATCAATTATGAAACGTAGAATCCTATTACTCGTATGCAAAGTGAGGTTATGCCATTTGCCATCGTTGAGTTTGTTGCTATTGTTAATGGTTATATTGACCACGGAATCTTGATTGGAGTAGTATGATATTTTTCCATTCAGCAATTCCAAGGAGGTATACTGATTATTAGTGGCAGCGAAAAGAATGAGGCCATTCTCCTTAAAGGTACGGAACATAAGACTGAGACTCTTGGGCGTCTCACTGACTTGGGCCAAGGCTGTAAAATTGTTGCGTTCAATGGTGAATCTCCGTTGCCTAGTGACGTCATACGACCATATGCTATTGCCAGCATAGAGATTATCCAGTAATTGCATGCGTCGATGTTTTTCGGAAATTTGAAACTCCACAAAGCCACCATCTGCCAAACTGATGGGTTCCAGGGCGTTTTGACAATTGGGCGCCATTAGCTCTGCACCACATTCACACATCGCCGCATCCCATCTATCCACACAAGTACCAAGGAAACCACACATGGAGGTTGCCGGATCACTGTAAGGCCCGACGGAACATAGGCCACCCTGTAAATTGTGTTTACAGCTGGAGGAAATACCTCGCTGCTTTAGGGGTTGACTGAGGTTGAGAGCCCGACCATTAATGGAGACGCTATGGACACATCCCACCAAGTCATCGCTGTGTATCTGACCGGGACGTTCTAGCACTGGGTCGGCAGATATCAAGCCTCCCAGCAGCAAAGGTTGTTTGTTGAAGTTTAGGGTCCTGCAAAAAATGAGAGGGAAATTAAATTAATTTTTACTGAATTTTATCGGCATTTGGAAAAACTTACCCAATTGGTCCCACATCATCGGCATAGCATGTGGAATCTCCGAGCCGACACTCATCACAGCTGTCTCCGTTCTCCGTGCACTTGGCCACACTCAGCGACATGACTCGACCATTTCGCGTGGCCGTTACCTTATGCCAATTGCCATCCGCCAAATTCAAATGGGTATTGCCACCCACCACCACCGTTGTGATGGCTGTCCTTACACCTCCAAACGAAAAGAAGGCCTTCCCACGCACCACTTCAATAGCCACAAAATCGGATCTGCCACCCGACTGTATGCCATAGTTATACATCAGCAAAGCATCCGGTTTGGTGGTGGCAAAAACAATCGAGATGTCATTGGTGGCCGCATCCAGCGAGGGGAATGTCATGTAGGAGAGATCACCAAAACCATAGGTAGTACGTTCACAATGCCTGCCATAACGTCCCTCAGGACAGTTGCATTTGTAGCCCGGCTTAAGGGCCACACACACGCCTCCATAATGGCAGGGGTTGGGACGACAGGAATCGGTGGCATGTTCACATTGATTACCACGATATCCAGGGCGGCAGAGGCAAAAGAAGGACGAGCCATCAGGACTGGAACGACATGAGCCACCATTGCCACATGGATTGCCGGAGCAGACATCTCCCCGCTCCTGTTGGCAATAGCGACCCTCACGATTCACTGGACACACACATTGGAAATCAAATCCCAAACGTCGACATTGCGAATTGCCATGGCAGGGATTGGGTGAGCAAGGATCCTGACGTTTGTCACATTGTTGACCCATAAAACCATCTGGACATTTGCACACAAAATCATGGGTAACCAAGGGACCGCTGAAGATCAACGACTCACTGTCCACTATGTTCAAAGAGTGTACATCATGCAGACGCCTCTCTGAGGTACATAGGCCACCATTATCACAGGCCTTGGCCATGGAACAGGGATCGAAACCAATCACCACCGACGACGAGGAGGTGGTTTGCATTAGCCTCTGCAGAACTTCACGTTTCTTGGCCAAACGTTCGACAACATAGTGCGGCAGACGATAACCTTGGTTGGACATTTTCAGGGCCACCAAAACTTCCAGATCTGTGGAGTTCATGCTGCTGGTGGTGTTGTGGACACTGTAGACCATCAAATCATCCGAGGAGTCTATAGCCGACTTCAAAGTCTCCACAAATTGCCGATAGTGTGTGGCCAGGAAATTCTCTGCAGTCATGTTGCGTACCAGTATGGTTATGGAATTGGCAATGGTACTGTTGTCGAAACTTTGGAAACCCACCGTGACCGTGGACACCACATCACCATGTTTGCCATCGTTGCCGGATACGGAATAGGAGTAACCATTATTAACCGAGGTCTGATAAGTTGTGTGCAAATCGCAGGCTTGCGGTATGGTCAGCAGACCCATTGGACTTGACTGGCTGTTGGGTATGATGCGGCAACGATAATTGCCACTAATGTCCGGATCATTGGGATGGACATCGGCAATCTTGCCCACCGGCATATCGTCATTGAAAACGTTGAGTATGACATGCACCGTGCGTGATGACGAGGGGCTGTCATTTTGATCCAACACTCGTATCTGCAACTTATGTTGGGCCTTTTGCTTAGGCTGGCCATTATCTTCTACCTCAATGATGGCCTCAAGTTCGGGGGTTTGTTCGCGATCAAAACTACGTGTGGATTTCACCAGACCCGAATGTTTGTCGACGGTGATGAAAGATTTGTGCTTGCCTCCAATCAATTGATAGGTGAAGGGTCCACCATTGGGCGGCAGATCGGGATCAGTGGCGGAGAGGGTCATAATACTACTTCCAGCTGGTTCATTTTCTTGGATATAGCCAACTAGACCCTCTGGCGGGAAGGTTGGACCATTATCATTAACATCGAGAAGTTCAACCCTCACCAATGTGGTTCCAGTCTGAGCCGGCAGTCCCGTATCAATGGCTCCCACCACCAAATTGTATTCCGGAATCTGCTCACGATCCAAATGTCGGGCCGTCTCAATTTCACCCGACTGGGGATCAACTTTAAAGGTCTGATTTATATTTCCTCCAATAATGGAGTAGCTAAACTGATTGTTCTGCGGTCGCACATCCTTGTCCACGGCCTTGACGGTGGTCACCTTGGTGCCCACATTGACAGCCTCTGATATCTTCGCGGTGTAGAGAGATTTCAAGAATTCCGGTGGATCATTGCCATCTTGAATGGAGATAATAACCTGGGCCTCATCTGTATCATTGCCCCGTATGCTGCCATAATTTTTGGCCAATACCGTGAGTACCGCACGACTTTGGGTCTCCCGATCCAGGTGACGTGAGACATAAATGAATCCAGTGTTGGGATTGATGGCAAAACCCTTATCGTTGCTGGAACCAACCAGAAGATAATAGACATTTCCATCTTCTCCGGCATCTTTATCGGTGGCCTGTATGGAGCCCACGGCTGTGCCCATCTCGGCCGATTCGGAGACATCGAAATGAAATACAGGCTGTATAAATTGAGGATAGAACTCATTCACACCACGTATATGCACCAGGATACGACACATGCTGTGCATTGGAGAGTCCGGATTGGCGGCCATAATTTCGAGGGTGTATTCCCGCCTTTCCTCATAGTCAAAACTCACCGAGGAGGTTATGACACCCGTTGAAGGGTTGATGGCAAAGTAGTTTTTTCCCGAACCTCCATTGATGGAATAACGAATAATGGCATTCTTGGGAGAATCTCTATCCTTGGCCTGGGCCTTGAAGACAAACGACTGGGGTGGTCGGTTTTCCGATATAAAAGCATGGTATTCTCTTTGATTGAACAACGGTGGGTTGTCATTGATATCCGTTAGTATGACCGTCAGCTGGGCAATGGCTGTCTTGGGTTTGAAACCCAAGTCCTGCACTGAAATATTCAAATGATATTCTTGGATGGAATCATAGTCCAAGGGTTCCAGGATAATGACAGCTCCACTTTCAGGATCTACTTTGAATTCGGAACGTTCATTGCCTCCAGCAATGGCATAACGTAACATGCCATTGGGTCCCTCATCTCGATCGGAGGCAGTGACAGTTAAGATTGTGGAACCAATTGGTTCATTTTCTGGCACAATAACCTGATAGCTAAGGGCGGTGAATTCCGGAGCAAAATGATTTTCGCCGGTGACAATTATCTGTACCTGAGCCTCATCACTTTTCGAGGGCACCCCATGATCGGCTGCCTTTATGGTTAGCGAGAAATGTGTATTGGGCGCCACTTCCAGTGACTTGGCCAGCGAAATCCAACCATCATGTTGTCCAATGCTAAAGTACTCCGTGCCATTACCCGAGGTAAATGAGTAGTGGATCTCGGCATTGACTCCAGTATCCAGGGAATCATGAGCTTGAACCCTTACCACTCGTTGTCCAACCCGGGCATGCTCGGGAACCGGGGAGAGATAAAGATCCTTTTCAAACTTCGGTGGATGATTGTTGGCATCTACGATGTTTATGTTGACCATGCATTCCGAGTAGAGAGGTGGTTTGCCATTATCAGTGGCCAATACAGTCAGGGTATAGGTGTTTTCCGGTGAGGCCTCATATTGGGAATGTTTGTATTTTATCGACTTTTTGCTAAATATCTCTCCCGTGGCCGGGTCGATGGTAAAAACATCCGAGGGTTGTTGCAGCGAATAGGAAATCACCGAATTTGGACCATGTTTATCCCTATCGTTGGCCACCACCTGGCCCACAAAGGCCACAGACCTCTGAAGCTCCGGGAAATTGAAACTATAAAATGTGTGATCAAATTCTGGGGCATTATCATTTTGATCCTGTATTGTTATGGTTATGGGAGTATCCGAACGCCAGGCCCCATCCGAGGCTGTTATTTTCAAAATATATTCATCCTGCTCCTCGCGATCAATATGCCCTGCCACTGTGATATTGCCGCTCAACGAATCCAAATGGAATTTTTCTCCCGGATTTTCGGTCAAAGTATACAAGGCATTGGCATTGATGCCCTGATCCAGATCCATGGAGGTGACTTGTATAACAAAGCTACCAATCTCAGCATTTTCGGTGACATTTACGGAAAACAGCCGCGTGAATTTTGGAGGATTATCGTTTTTATCCAAAAGATTTATGATCACCGTGGCGGAGCCCGTCAACTGGGGCATGCCTTGATCCACCGCCACCACGGAGAGTTCATAACGGCTAATCTCCTCACGATCCAAACGCATGGTTGTGTAAATCTCTCCCGAGTCTGCATCAATTTCAAAGGTACCCTCAAAGTCATCCAACAGGCGATAGCTCACTTCACCATTAACGCCCGAATCCCGATCATGGGCCTTCAATCTAACAATGGTCTGTGGCGGAGATTCTTCTTCCATAATTTCCGTGTTGTATATTAACTTCTCCATCACGGGAGCATTGTCATTGGCATCGGTGACATTGATGGTCAGCAGCATTACACTCCTCAAGGGTATGCGATCCGAATCCAAGGCCTCCAGCCAAATTTCATATTGCGAGGCCAGCTCATAATCCAAACCATCTTTGCCAATGGTTACCACACCACTCGAGGCATCAATGCGAACCGCCTCCCCCAAATTTCCCCCGGCAATGGAATAGCGTATACTTCCCGCCGCTCCCTTTTTGGGGGAACTTCCCATTATTGTGGTTATCCTCTTGCCTGGCTCTATGTCTTCTGACAACATAAACTGGGTATTGGCCATGTAATTAAAGGTGGGAAAAGATGCAGCCGGCTTCAGTGATATCATTAACTCTGCCTGTGAAGATTTCGATGGCACACCCTGATCATAGGCATGAATGGTCAAAGAGTATTGGCGATTTAAATCTGAACCCAACGACTTTTGGCTTTTTATAACTCCCGTCTTGGCATTGATTTGGAAATACTGCACATCCTTGCCACTGATGTTGTACATGACCAGGGAATTCAAACCCTCATCAGCATCCCTGGCCCAGGCCCCGAAAACAAACTCATTGAGTCCCGTTTTATCGGGAATATTCACATGAAACTGATTCGCCTCAAATCGTGGCATATTATCATTTACATCGCTGACGGTTATGGTCAAATTGACGGCGGTGGCTCTTGGCTCTGTGGCCGAACTGTCCTGGGCCATGAGGGTTAGGAAATACACAGCTGTCTCCTCGCGATCTAACACACTGGCCGTGGTTATTTCTCCTGTCTCGGAATTGCAATGGAATCTTTCCAATTTCTCTCCTAGGAGGGTAAAACGTATTTTCGCATTGAGTCCTGCATCCTTGTCGAAGGCATGGGGCTGTAGAACTTTTGTCCCTATCGCTAAGTTTTCTTGTATGGTGGCATAATATGACTGCCGCTCAAATTCCGGACTATGATCGTTGACATCTTGCACGATGACTTGTACCACACCCGTCCCCGTGAGAGGTGGAGAACCTGGAAAGGATAAGAAGAAATGGGTTGTGATTTGGAAAAAATATTAAGAATTTGTTGAGTTCGAAATATAGCAAAAATAATTATAGAAAAAATCCGGCAGATTATGAAAGTAGAGCTAAAAATAGAAGACTCCTGTATCGGAGTTTTGAAAATTTACAACGCAAACTAAGCTAAATAGAGGGGGAGAGTTCCACCTTTTCAACATCCTTTTGAAAATTTCGAATTAAGTTTCCTTGGAATCTGTGTTCTTTAGGTATATAGTGTCTTCAGAAATATTATAGATAACAATACAAGAAATATTTTGGTAAACAATTTTAACCCTCTAGCGAGTCAGCAAAGGGGTCTTTTTGGTCCTTTTTTTCAAAATGTGATTAAAAATTGCTTTAAACAGCAATTCTTTTCAAAATATGGCTTGAAACTCCCTTTATACGGAACCCTAGTTAGACAAATTATTCTACAAAATTATTTGTCACACAGTTCTTCTATAGGTCCTAGAAGACGTCAATTGTCTAAATCTTACCTAAACGCCAGGAATTCATATTTATTAAAAATAGATTTTAGGGTTAACGCGTTACCTTGTGCAAGTTAATGCAAAATACTCCTATAATACATCATTTTAGGAGAACGATGTCAAAGAGAAAAATATTTTTCATCAAATCTCACTAAGGGTCTCTAAAGAAAAAATCGCGAAAAAATATTCCTCAATTTTTTGATAACATTTTTCTCTGGCTTTTTTCGAGTTGATGCATGAAAGTGACATAAAATTTCGTTTTAGGCAAAATGTCATAAAAAGAAGAAATATTCTACACAAAATTTCACTATAAATTTCAGAATAAATCATATATCTACATTAAATGGTCTTTACGAAAAATGCATTCGGAATTAATAAAGTATCAGTGAAAATAATGTTTTTGTGGTTTTTCACTGCTAATTCAACTACTTCCCAATCTAAGTCAAAATCTCTCTTTTAATGCTGCAGTTTTTGAAGAAAGTGTCAAAGGAAGATTTTTTTGAGATCAACTTTAATTGTGAGTCTCAATGTAAATCACAACAGAAAACAAGTAAGAAAGCGGTAAGTTCGACGGGGGCGAATTTTTAATATCCTCCACCATTTGGAATGAATTTGACAATTTTTTAAAAAATAAAATCAGTTAAAAATTATTATAAAATCTTGAAAATACCAAATATAGACAATCTATTAGGGTCTATACGACAAAGTAGAGCTGCATAGCAACTTTTGCACAGACATTTTTCTGTCTTAGGCTGTAGTATCCATTACGAACTCCAAATATCAAATTTGAAATAATTCCGGTGAATAATGTCGCTAAAATCTTCAAAATACCCAATATCGGGTGGTACCGTTATATGGGGGCTATACGAAGGCGTGGACCTGCACAGACAATTTTCTGTCTTAGGCTGTAATATCCATTACGAACTTCAAATACCAAATTTGAAACATTTCCCGTGAATAATGTCGCTAAAATCATTAAGATATCGAATATTGGGAGGAACTGTTATATGGATGCTATATGAAGGCGAGGACCTGCACAGAAATTTTCTGTCGTGGGCTATAGTATCCATTACGAACTTGAAATACCAAATTTGAAACATTTCCTGTAAATAATGTCGCTTAAATCACCAAAATACCGAAAATAGGGAGGTAGCATTATATGGGGGTTACACCAAATCGTGGACCAATATGGCCGATTTTCAATACCAAAAGTCCTGCAGACATAGTATACATTTGAGTTAAATTTTATCAACCTACTTCATTTCGTTCGGAAGATAGAGTGATTTCCACAGGCGGACAGACGGGCGGACATAGCTAAATCGAAAATATAATTTTATACTGGTCAAGAATATATACACTTTGTGGGATCTAAAATGTAAATTTCGAGGTGTTACAAACGGAATGACAAACTTAATATACCCTCCATACTATGGTGGAGTCAATGCCTCCTTTAAATATCAAGAAAATATTTACATCTATTTTGGCCAAAAACGCGAAAATATTTCTTTATTTTTTTTTTATCAATTTTTGTAACATAAAATTTTACTTTAGGTAAAATGTCTCAAAAGAAGAAATATTCTATAGAAAAATTCACTATAAATCTCAGAGTAACCCATATAGCTGGTCGTAGTGATTTTTAAAAAAATTACATTCGATTTTATATATTAAAAGTGAAAATTATGGTTTTACGTTTTTTGTTGCCAAGTTAGTTATGTACTATACAACAAATATCACCAATCTAAGTGAGTTGTTCCATTATTTAAATTTTAGTTTAATTGAATAATATTTGAAAAGTTGAATTTTATTCTTATTGATGACCATGAAAAAAATATCACCAATCTAAGTGTGTTTTCTAAAGTTTTGAATTTTGGTTTAATTGAATTAATATAAAAAATTGAAAAATTGTCATAGAAGTGTTTGTTTTTCGACATAGAAACATATACTTTTTATAATTTATAGAAATTTTTAAGTTATAACCAATAATATCGA